AAAAAAAACCCACTGGGATAGACTGGCAGGCCCTCTCCACATAGAGCTAAGTAGAGCCTAGGTGGGGGTTTGGGGCATTTTTTTGTTTTTGATTGAACCAAGGGCATTGTGTATGCTAAGCACACTCTGCTCCTGATCTACACCCCAGCCCTAACAGTGGATTTTGATAGTGGCTGGAGATTATGGGAGAGAGGAGAAGGTACCTAGCTTGATTTTCTCCAGAACATTCCAAAGACCAGAGCAAGGAGGTACTGGGTGGTCCAGGGCCCCACCCAACTACATAATCGAAAGGCGAGGGAGGATGGCCAGACTTCCAGAGGATTGGGGGCAGCATAGAAGTGGGACTGGAAGTGCCCACCATGGTTTAGACGTCCCTGGATATGGCCATCTGGACAGGACTAGTCTCAGGGGCACAGTGCAGGGCCTGGGTCTGCCCCTCTGGGGATGTTTATCGAGGTCAGCATCATCCAGCCCAACCCCTCCCTCTGTTGGGGAAGAAACTGAGGCACAGGGCAGGACCAAGATCTGCCTGGGCCACACTGCCAGGCTGTAGCAGGGTAGGAGATGCCAGGAGGGTGCACTTTGAACCACCTGAGTAGTTCCTACTGAAACCCTCTCCCCCGGACTGCAGGCCTTCTCATCTGCTGCCGCCTACTGACTGTCTCCTCCCCACAGGACCTCTGTGCGGCATCCTGGTGGGACGCTTTGGCTGCAGAGTGACCATGATGCTGGGTGGGCTGCTGGCCAGCCTGGGCATGGTGGCCAGCTCCTTCTCCCGTTCCCTCAGCCAGCTGTACCTTACAGCAGGAATAATCACAGGTAACTGGCCTTCTCTGAAGGGGCAGGCAGGTGTGGATAGGGTGGACAAGCCTCTTAATTCTCTGAAACTGCTTTCAGTCCACTGGAACATGGACAATGGACAGATATATAAGAAGGCTTAGATGTTCCTAATCTTAACGGTGCATAAGAAGATAGGATGGAGAATGTGAAGGCATCATGGCCCTGGGTGGGCACGGGCAAATGTGAAACAAGAGATAAATATCTAGCACAGCCAGTACAGGAAATACAACCAGGCAGGGGGAGTTTGCTAGTCATAGTCAGGGAGGGCCTCAAAAAGAAGGTGACATTTGAGTCAGCTTTCTGTTACTATAACAAATACCTGAGATAATCAACTTGTTTCTTTTGGCTCACAGTTTCAGGGTCATGATCAAGTTGACCCTGTTACTTTGGGGCATGTGGTGAGGCAGCATGGCAGAGCAAAACCACTCACCTAATGGTCAGGAAGCAAGAGAAAGAAAGGAAGGGGCTGGGGTCCCACTGTCCCCTTTTAGGTCATACCTCCAATGACCCAAAGACTTCCCACCAGGCCCCACTCCCTTATGTTTCTACCACCTCCCAATAGCACCATGCTGGGGACTGAACCTTCAACAATGGCCTCTGGGGGACACTAAACCAAAACAGAAAGAGCAGAGATTGAACAGGCGTGAGGGAATCTAGTTTGAGGCTCTCTGAGTAAGAGCATTCCAAGCAGATGGAAGTGATGGGGAGAAGTCAGTCTCTGGATGCTTGTGACGGGCAGAGAGAAGAGCCAAAGGTGACCCCAGGTTCCAAGAGTCAAAAAGGTGACACAAGGAATTTTTGCCCTGAGCCGCTGGAAGACTAGAGCAGTCATTAGCTATACCAGGGAAACGCGGACGGGACGCTCAGGTTTGGACAGGTCCAGTTTGGAGCTCCAGAGAGAGACCTGAGCTGAGGCAGGCAGTTCAGGAGTCCCCACACGGTGGGAGCAAAGTCTTGAGTTAAGACATCACCCTCCTGTCAGAGAGGGAGTGAAGTTGGTGGCTGAAAAGGCTTGAGTCCAGGCTATCCCCAGCTCAAAGGTCTGGACAGGAAGAAGTGACCTGGGAGGCAGAAGAGTCAGGAGAGTTTCTCCAGAGTGACAAAATTCCTGGCACAGTGCTGCACACCAGGAATCCCCGCAACTCGACAGGCAGAGGCAGGAGGTTTGCAAGTTTAAGGCCAGCCACCGCAACGGAGTGAGACCCTGTCTCAAAATTTAAAATTAAAAAAAAAAAAAAAGGCTAGGGATGTGGCTCAGTGGTCAAGTAGCCCTGGGCTCAATCCCCAGCACCAAAAAAATAAATAAAAAATAAAAAAATGAGTGCTGAAGTGTGCCAGGCTGCTGATGGGTCAGATGAGATGAGAGCCAGAGGAGCCCTGCTGCAATGAGGCCTTGGAAACCTTGATAAGAACTAGTCTGGGGCCGAGGTGAGGGTCAAGTCTGATCAATCAGGTCCAAAAGAAAACAGCCAGTGGCCGGTAGTGATGGCAGTGGTGGTGAAGCTTAGTGGGAGAGTGCTTGCCTAGCATACGTGGACCTCAGCATCGCCAAAAACAGGGAAAAAAAAAAAAAACAGAGCATACAGGAGGGGATTAAAGATAACAGATATACACCTAGCACATGTGAGTCCCTGGGGTCATCCACAGCACCACCAAAAAACCAAAAAACTTTCTACAGCATTTCTTTTTTTCTTTTCTTTTCTTTTCTTTTCTTTTCTTTTCTTTCTTTCTTTCTTTCTTTCTTTTCTTTTCTTTCTTTCTTTTTGTTTTTTGTGTTTGTAGTATTGAGGGCCTCACTCATGCTAGGCAAGCCCTCTACCACTAAGCTACAATCCATCTTTTTTTTTTTTTTTGGTCCTGGGAATTGAACTCAGGGGCACTCCACAACTGAGTCACATCCCCAGCCCTATTTTGTATTTTAATTAGAGACAGGGTCTCACTGAGTTGCTTAGCACCTCACTTTTGCTGAGACTGGTTTTGAACCTGTGATCCTCTGTCTCAGCCTCCTGAGCTGCTGGGATTACAGACATGTGCCATGGCACCCTGCCCAACCTTTTTTGTGTGTGTGTGTGTGTGTGGTGCTGGGGATTGAACCCAGGGCCTTGCGCATATGAGGCAAGCTCAACTGAGCTATATCTTCAGCCCCCCTGGCCTAACCTTTTTAATTCTTGTTTTCAGATGGTGTCTTGCTTAGGCTGACCTCAATATTATGATCCTTCTGCCTCAGCCTCCTAATTAGCTGGGATTATAGGCATGCAACACTGAATGAACACAACGCCTTTATGTGTGTGTGGTACTGGGAATCAAACCCAGGGTTTTGCACATGCTAAGCACACACTTTACCACTGAGCTACATCCCCAACTCCTTCTCCAGCATTTCTATGTTAAGGGACCAAAGAAATGGGCTAGAACCCAAAAGGAGTTGTGGCATCAAAAGGGTTTGGTTTTTTAATAATAGGGGAAATACAATAAAGGAGAATGATCTAGTAAAGATGGGAGGAAAGGCTATTGCAGAAGAGAGGGGGATTGCTGGACATGTGTCTGAGTGGACAAGCTAAAGGGAGAAGTAGAGTGTTGGCCTCTAACTGCATTGGTGGGTCATAATCCCAGATGAGCGACTGAGTGTGAGGCTGAGGAAGAGGTGTTGGAACACACAGAGGAAGAAGAGGCCCAAATGGTCACCTAGGGCGCACAGAAGAGAAAAACAAAAAAAAACCACAGAGTTGTTAGGAGCTGCCCAAGGGCCCATTAGGGGCCAGTAGTCATGCGGTCATCTTGAACTTTGTCTCTAGCGGCACAGCTAAACAGGAATAGAGCAGGTGAGGAGGCAGAAGGGCCCCTTGGGGAGTAGTTTTTGAGCTGAGATGCAAGTGGAATGTCTGAGTAGAGAACATTCCAAGCAGAGGAGATGGCAACTGCAAATTCTCTAAGGTAGGAGCAGCTTGGTATCCAGAGGAAGAGAAAGAAGCTGATGTGGCTTGATCCTGGTGAGCAACAGGGAGTGGCCTAAGATGGCATCCCAGAGGTGAGCCAGAGCCAAACTGCACAGAGCTTGCCAGGGCGTAGTAAATACTTTGGATGTTTTCCAAGTGTGACGGGAAGTGTTTGGAAGGTGTTAAGTGGGGTGCCACTGGAAGCCCAGGGAGGGCAGATCTGAGGGGTGGGGTGCTTACAGGGAGGTGGAGAGACAGGCAGACCCCATCTTCAGTGCATGGGAACTTGGAAGTCAGTCTGGGCTAAAAGTGAGGAGGCAGATGTGGGACGTGGCCACTCTGGATGCAGGTGGAAGGCCCCGGAACACCCCTGAGTTGTCGCCTCTCTCACCCTGCAGGCCTGGGCATGTGCTTCAGCTTCCAGTCAAGCATCACTATGCTGGGCTTTTATTTCGTCCGCCGGCGGGTGCTGGCCAATGCACTGGCCTCCATGGGTGTCTCTCTGGGTGTCACCCTCTGGCCACCATTTGCCAACTACCTCCTGGAAGACCTGGGCTGGAGGGGCACCTTCCTTGTCATCGGCGGGGTCCTTCTCCATTGCTGTGTCTGTGGAGCCATCATGAGGCCCGTGGCCACCAACACAGCCCCTGAGACCACAGCAACTCCCGCTCCACCTTTTAAGACAACTGCCCATGGCTGCCTGGCAACGTGTGGTTTGATCATCCGGCACCACCTGGCCTTTGACATCCTGTGGCACAACACGGGCTACTGCGTGTATACCCTGGGCGTGACGTGGATGAGCTTAGGTTTCTTGCTGCCACATGTCTTCCTGGTCCCATATGCCAGGTGGCATGGGGTACAAGAGGACAGGGCGGCCCTGCTTGTTTCAATCTTCGGTTTTTGCAACATCTTCCTGCGGCCCACAGCGGGGCTGGTGGTAGGCCGGAAGAGATTTGCCAGCTACCGCAAGTACCTGTTCAGCCTGGCAGTGCTGCTCAACGGGCTCACCAACCTGGTGTGCACAGTGTCCGCCGACTTCCGCGTGCTGGTGGGCTACTGCCTGGTGTACAGCGTGTCCATGTGTGGCATTGGCATCCTCATCTTCCAGGTCCTCATGGACATTGTCCCCATGGATCGGTTCCCCAGCGCCCTGGGCCTCTTCACCATCCTAAGTGGCATCGCTTCTCTCATCTCCCCGCCACTGGCTGGTTAGCCCTGGGAGGGAGAGCAGCCAGGTGTGCCCAGATGGGGCCTGGGTGGGCAGGGTACGGAGTCGGGGCAAAGGGGAACAGTCCAGACAAATGTGGGCCTAGTCCACTCTCATTTCCAAGGGCAGGGATTTGGGATTCTTGGTTACCCCAGGCACCCAGGAACTGTGCTATAGCCTGTTCCCCACCTAGCACACAGGGTACAAAGAGTTGAAAATATGGATTTGCACACCAGACTTAGACCTGACTCCACCTTCCCCTCTGTTTTCTTTTCAGAGAAGTGGGAATGATAATAGGATCTGCCTCATGGGCTTGCTGTGAGGCTCCCAGTAAAGAACTTAGTAGAGAGCAAAGTGCATAAGGGCTGGGCCCACACCTACTGTTATTAGCATCCTGGTTCCCCTACTCCCTACCTGTGGGACCCAAGCAAGTCACTTTCCTTCTCTGAGCCACAATGAAGACTGCAAAAATGCAGAAGAGAGCACCTGCTCTGACATTCATTCACCCAGGCCAGTCACTGAGTGCTCATGGCCAAAACCATCCTCATGGGGCTTACCTCCCGATGGAGGAGTCAAGAGTAAAAGCAAAGAGACAGTTATGACCACAGTGGTGGCTTATGTGGGAAGAAAAACATGATTTGGAAGGAAAGACCCACGGGGGACAACTTGCTGGGCAGCTGAGAGTGACTTTGATAGTAAACGGGGGAAGATTTGTCCAGTCCTCTGACAGTGTGTGTTAGATGTCCAGATTTCCAAGGGGGTTCCCCAAGCAAGTAAGAGGAGGAAGCTCTCCAGGAGGGGATAAGGATGGGACTAGGAGGAGGCTCAGAAGACGTCTCAGACTCTGCTAGCCTTGCCTCCTTGCTCCCTGACATCAAGGGTAAGGGAGTCGTGCCCAAAATCTCTCTTCCAGTCTGAGGACTCCTAACCAGGCCAAGGTAGGCCTACTGCTTCCTCCCTTCCTTCCATTCGGTAATCTAATGAGTCCCTGGTGGGTGCCAGCAATAATTTCTTATCTAGCAGAGTCAGAAATAAAATCCCTCCTATCACTAAGGAACATTTACAGTGTGGAGGTGGGTTGTGGTAGCCCCAGACAGTGGCCTAACTTGCTCTCTGCTCCCCAGGGTTCCTCCTGGACACCAGCAACAACTTCAGCTATGTTTTCTTCATGTCAAGCTTCTTCCTCATCTCAGCTGCCCTCTTCATGGGTGGCAGCTTCTATACCCTGCAGAAGAAGGAGTGGCGGGGCAGGGAAGCCAAGGCCAAAGGAACCATTTCAGAGGCCACCCCAGTAAAGGATCCAACCCTGGAAGATAAGGACGATCCCAAGAAGCATCTGTGTTCTGAGGTCATGTATGTGACCAGTGTCTGAGCTTCAAGGGTCACATGTGTGACCAGCATCTGAGCCTTCAGTGAACCTTTTCTCAACCCAGGAACAGGGCTTCCAGCTGCTTTGAAGGGTGCTGGTATAGAAGATAGCCCAGGAGGCCTGGATTGAAGGTTGTCCAGGCTCTGCAAGTTGGGACTCAGCCAGGACCTGGAAACTTGGAGGCCAGTCTCTGAAGACACAAAGTTCCTTCCAGTTGCAGAAACCAGGAATGGGCTTTCCTCCTTGGGCCCGGAAGGTGGGTCTGATCCCTGCTCCATGCATTGGGGCCAGTTAAGCTCAGTGGGCCTTGGGCCATGAATGACGTTCCTACAACCCAGCACACTGGACCTTCACGCCAAACCTTTATACCTCCAACATCAGCTCTGCTTATCTTTCCATGGCTTCCAGACAGTTCTGAAGAGCTCACCCTCCTGTCCATCTTCACCCTCAGGGCAGCCAAGACTGTGGATGTGGTTGCCCCCACACAACTGGCTGGGCTTGGCTGACTGGAGCCCTGGGACAGGCAGTAGTGGAAGACAGGGCTGAGGAGTGGGCCTAGATGTAGGACGGAGACAGATTAAAACTGGGTGGAGTATCCATCCTGGTACCTATGCAGAGAGGAGGGGAATCCCTGGCTTGGGCCCCAGAATTGGGAAAGCCTGAGGGGTGCCTTGTCATCCCAGTAGGTTACTCCAGGGCTTTCCTCCTCCTTTGGCCCACCCTATAGCCTTGGTGGGAAAAGTGATGCTGGGTCAGGGAAAAGCAGGACATCTGGCTGACCCAGGGAGGCGAAATCTCACCAGGAGTGCACCACTGTGAGAAATAGGGCTGTTTGCAACAGAAGACTTCATGTAACCTTCCCTGACTCCAGAGAACCTTTTTCTCCCTGGTTCTTAGAAGTGTCACTTCTGGGGCAAGTAGTAGCCTGGGCCAGCTGCCAGTCCATCCCCACTCCCTGCTGGCCTGGCCCTGCAGCCTGGAGGCCAGGGCTTCCCCACTTTGTTGTTGCCCTTCTCTGAAGTCATCACCTAGGACTGGCTATCATCAGCCTAGGCTTGTCCCAGCAGGGTACCCCAGGGAATAGGAAAACAGAGTTTGTTTGAATTATACACAAAAATGTTCCCTGCAGTGGGTCATAAACTCTGAACTAATAAGGGCAGAGAACAGGTCTGGAGTAGTTTCCTCCCTCCCCTTTCCTTTCTCCCAGCTTGGCAGGGACTGCTTGGGCTTAGGACCACGTTTGTTGATTCAGGCTCAACCAGGCTCCAGCAAGAAAACCTTATCAAGAAAAATTATTTTGTTTTTATGACCTGATGCCAGCCTTCCTCCTCCACCTGTCCATCTGGCTTGAATGTCCATCCTTGGGGCTGTGGTGTCCCAAGACCCATCACAAGTGCCCTCTTATGGCCAGAGAAGGTAGTGCAGAGATATGGCAAGGGACACTGGGCTGGGATATAGGTTTGACTCAGCCACAATTTACTGTGTGACTTTGGGCAAACTGTTTTATCTCTGGATGAGCCAACATCTCTTCCAATCTGAAAAGTCTGATTATGTGAGTATACTTAAGATTCCTGTTGCCTTTCTGCCTCCCACCCAACTGAGCTTGGTCAATAGCTATAGCTTGTGTTCTGAAGGGATACATTTTTCCATCTCAACTGAGTGAAAAAGAAGAGAAGTGTGGCTGGTAGGTAGGTCCATCAGGTTTTAAGATGCTGTGTATTTCCTAAATGGGCCACTTCTTGAAAACATATAAGGAAAAAAATATATCCAGGAACCTTCAGTATAGGGAATTCTGACCTCTCCTGTCTCCACGCAAGAGTAGCAAAAAAGTAAGAGGAGTGGAATGGTCCAATAAATAAGAAAATATTAATTAACCATCTATTGTGGGGCTGGGAATATAGCTCAGCTGGTAGAGTGCTTGCCTTGCATCTTGCATGCATAAGGCCCTCGGTTCAATCCCCAGCATCACAAAAAAAAAAAAAAAAAAAAAAACTATTTGTGCCACAGACTGGGTAGAGGAATAAGACCTGGTTGCTGTCATCAGCCCCAAACCAAGGACTAAGAATTCTTTCACGAGGAGGGTCCCTGAAGCCTTAGGAAGAGGATAAGACCAAATGTGGGAGGCTGACTAGCAAGTGACTGGGTCTGACTCCCCTGCTGAGCGGTGTGGCCAGCGGTGGTCACTGGTCAAGCTGCTGGATAACCTTGGTCTTCTAGGGTGACTGTGACTCGTGCATGGGCGTGCCTTCCTACAGCCCCATAGGTGGAGCTATGCTCACCTGTTCCTTTGTAATATTACCCCTTGCCCTGTTGAGGGTAGAATGTTCCATGGAAATGCCTTTTGTATGCCCCCTTCTCTTACTGTGCCCTTGGGTGTGGCCTTCCTAGATGTCAGTAAACCTGCTGACAGCAGACATCCTGAAGCTAGACTCTGTCCCTTGAAACATGACCCCTTGCCTCATTTGAATAGCTTCTCCTCAATAAAAGGGGTCAGCACATTCCCTCTCTGTAGACCCTTAAGGTCAGAGAAGCAGGCACAGCACCGCCTCCTCAAAAAAAAAAAAAAAAAAAGTATTTCTGTCTCTTGTGTGGTTATTTCCCGCAGCCCAATTAGCCCAGTTCCCCTGGAGTGACCCCTGAGTGTTTTAGTGGGGATCAAACACAGCAACCAAACATAAAAAAAGGGAAACTGGAGTGACCCACATGGCTCCAGAACCCACTCAGTTGATTACATGGAAACTGTCTGGGACAATTCCTGGAGGACGGGTGGGGCTCACCCTTTCAGGCCTGAACTCCAGGCCTTTGCCTCTATTGTCCAGGGAGAGGCAGAGAAGAGCCCTGGCCACCCTGAGCAGAGATGCACTTCCCTGAGCCTGCATAGGCTCCCGACAGAAGCCCAAAGGCCTGGAGCCCTCACTGAGCAGCCAGGAAACCCAACCACCCAGACTGAGGTCAAAACCCCTGCCCTGAGGCTGTGTGTCATGCAGAGGCCGATCACAGGGATCTTACACCTCAGAGTGTGGAGGCCACTCTGCTTTAATGCAGGCTCAGAGCTGAAGGTACATGGTCCCTTGTCCTCAGAAAGCTCACAAACGAAACCTCTACCACCACAAGCCCTATCATCTGTGATCATGAGACCCCCATCAATCAAACTTTCCAGAAAACCCCTGACAGGAATCAGGTCAATGGGCTCCAGCGTCCAAAATATCCAGAAGTGTACCTCTGTGCAAAACGAGGCGCTTTTCAGGGCTCGTCATTGCTGCCCCGCTGCGCCTGGCTGACAAAGAGCCTTAGGACTGACCCAGTCCCCGTGACTTCTGGCCAGAGGTGGCGGATCCTCACGGGTCCCGACGGGGGTTTGGGGGTTGGAGGGGCCACCGTAAGGGCAACAGATCTATGGGGGCGCAGAGAGCCGACCCCCGCGCTCCAGAGGATCGAGAAGGCGGGCGTGGGGCGTATGGACGTGCTTCAGCCGCGTGGGCTTCGACTTGTGCGCGCTCCCAAGCGCCCTGGAGGCGCCACCTGCCTCTCACCACGCAGCCTCGTACACGGCCGCACAGTGCCCGACCGCAGCAGCCCCAGCACCGGGGGCAGCGCTCGGCGCACGCACTCGGCGGAACTCAGCGGAAGCCCCGCCCCGGGGGCCGGCCCGCCCCTTCCGCTCCCTGAGAGCCGGTCGAGCGCGGCTTCCGCCCGGGGTTTAGGAGTCGGAGTCGGTGCTTCGATTGGCCGCCGCCCCCTAGTCTCCCAGTTTGGATTTTCGAACCCAACTCCTCGGCCTTCACATTCCCAGTTCCATCTTCAAGTTCCAGCAGAACCTGAACCCAGGAAAGGAGCCCACGTGCCGCCTGTCCACCCGTGGAGAGCCAGGTGAGGTTCTCGCCCGGCTTAGGGCCTCGCCTTCCCCTCTCCCGTCGGTCCCGCGAAAGCCCTCCGCGGCCCCGACCATGGCCCAGAAGCCGAAGGTAGACCCCCACGTCGGGCGGCTGGGGTATCTGCAGGCACTGGTCACGGAATTCCAGGAAACCGAGAGCCAAGGTGAGAGGCGCGGGTGGGCGCCAGGGGAACCCTCAGGAGTCCGGCCGCGACCGCCTTCTGGGCCTGGTTCCAGCGCTTCTTTTCCTTCGCAGACGCCAAGGAGCAAGTCCTCGCCAACCTTGCCAACTTCGCCTATGACCCCAGCAACTACCAGTATCTGCGGCAACTACAAGTCGTGGATTTATTCCTCGATTCTCTGTCGGAAGAGAATGAGACCTTGGTGGAGTTCGCTATTGGTAAGCCTGGGGCTGGTCACCTAGATACTTGGTGAGCAGGGGAGAGTGTTAGAAATGAGCCCGGGGCAGGGGCTCAGTGGTAGAGCGCTGGCCTTGCACGTGCGAGGCACTGAGTTCGATCCTCAGCACCACATATAAAAATAAAGGTATTGTGTGTCCATCTACAACTAAAGTAAATAATAAAAATAAAAAGACATCTTAAAAAAAAAAAAAGAAATGAGCCTTTTTTAAGAGAGAGAATTTTAATATTTATTTTTTAGTTATGAGCGGACACAACATCTTTGTTGGTATGTGGTGCTGAGGATCGAACCCGGGCCGCACGCATGCCAGGCGAGCGCGCTACCACTTGAGCCACATCCCCAGCCCCCCAGTCTCAGCAATTTAGCTAGACCTTGTCTCAAAATAGAAATGAAAAAGGGCTGGAGATGTGGTTAAGGGCCCCAAAGTTCAATCCCTGGTGCTAAAAATACATAAGCCAGTCCTTGGGAAAGGACTGGGCTTTTTTTTTTTTTTTTTTTTTAATTTTAATATTTATTTTTTAGTTATGAGCGGACACAACATCTTTGTTGGTATGTGGTGCTGAGGATCGAACCCAGGCCGCACGCATGCCAGGCAAGCGCACTACCACTTGAGCCACATCCCCAGCCCAGGACTGGGCTTTTCTAAGTTTCTTTTTTTTTTCCTTGGTTTTTCTACTAGAGCTAGGTACTCAGTCCCAAATGCAGTGACTATCTCAGTATCAAATGCTTCCATGTGCGCCTCTGCAGATTACATTTCTCGTATGTTTATCATATATAACTATAAAAGAGAGTCCCAGTGGTACTTAACATGCTTAGTGAATTCTGTCATTTTCCTTTCTCATAATGTCTCCAGCACTGGGTGGATACACTGTCAAATACCTATTCTGCTACTAAAAAGCTCTGTTCTGGGCTTTGAGACTTTTGAGTGTTTTGTCTCTGGCAGAGGAAAACAGAAGGGGACACCTGAAGGGGGGATTCATCCAACGTGGTGTGTGCAGTCCTGGCCATGACTTGATGCAGTGGCCCTGAACGAGATTGCTTCTGGAATAACTAGCAGAGAGAAGGACTGGATCAGATTGCCCTTAGTCATGGCTCACAAAACCAAAACCAGTGTCTGTCTGTTGGCAAGTAACATACTGGGTTTGGTAGAGCTGGGCTTTGAGTCATACAGGTATGTTCAAGACTTGCTCTGCGTTTTTATTGTCTGAATATGTGATTTCCCTTCTCTAGTCATTTGTCAGGAACAGTATCAGTAACTCCCTTTTACATTATTGAGAGAATTAAATGAAATATGATGCTTTTTTAGGGTCGGTGTCTACAGCTGATCCCCTTGGCCTCCACCCAAGAACCTGGTTGAGGGTAAACAGATTCCTTTTCTCTCAGAAAAATGAGATGGAATTAGATAACACCCTATCAAAGGAGCCACCCATCTGTTCCAGGGATTTTGCTCTCTGGTGTATTAAGAGTTCTTGCCATGATGGGTTATAGCTCAGTGGTAGAGTGCTCACCTTGCATGTAGAAGGCACTGGGTTTGATCCTCAGAACCACATAAAATAAAAGTATTGTGTCCATCTACAACATTTTAAAAAAAGGAATCTGAGGCACAGATATCTGCAACTATTCTGGCTAACAGCGGGCAGGGTCAGAATGCAGGCTTCCTTCCATCAGTCCCTGAAGACCACCACAGTAGCAGATATCTATGTCAGTTCTGCTGAGGCAGGGCTGAGATCTGCTCCAGGGTCCAATGGCTTTGCCTCCTGTCTGAGGTTGGAAGTCAGGTGTCTGCTGGGGGCTTCATTCTGACTGTACTTATTTCCATCAGTTGTGGCAATGGCCTGAAAGCTGTAGTGGTCCCTTGCCACCACAAACCACTATAGCTCACCTTGTACCACTGCCTGCAAGGTCTCTGAATCTGTCACCACCTACTAGGCAGGTGGTGCTGAGCCCTCTTTATATATCAGGGAACTACTTAGGGAAGTTAAGTCTAGTACTGAAAGTTCACACTGTTAATGATGACTGGAGCCACAATTTTACCCTAGTTCTGGAAGATTCTGCTCCCAGGGGACCCAGCTGACAACCCATATGCATGCCCCAGGACATCAGCTTCCCCCTTCTTTGTTTCTGCTGCACCTGGCCTCCTCCTTCACATCCCTGAGCTAGTTCTTATGGGAAGTCATCCCCCCTGAACTTGGTAGTGCCCACAGTCCCCAGGGCCATATCTGGTCAGTGTCATAGAGGAACTGCCACTGGAAGATGGCTTTGATCAAGCCAGAGCTGCCCCAACTTGAGATATTGGATGAGAAGTGGATGAATTATGGGGAACTAGATGTAAAGTAACTACTAATTGGTTGAAAGAATTCTGAACTGAAACCCCAATTTACAACATTGGTGGCCTTGTATTCATTTAGGAATGTTTGCCCAAAGCACCATTGGGTGACTTTCAGGTGCCCTATACACCTGCATCATCCTAGATGCTACCTGAAGATGTAAAAGAATCAGAGAGAATTCTTTGCTCCCAGTAAAACTGATTAAATCCTAAAATATAGAATTCTTGACAGTTTTTCTACTAAAGTGGGACTTAAATAAGTGGCCCTCCAGAATTCATTTCAAATTGCTTTCTTTTTATTTATTTATTTATTTACTAGTTGTAGTTGGACACAATATCTTTATTTTGTTTATTTTTATGTGGTGCTGAGGATTGAACCCAGGGCCTCGCACTAGTGTTAAGCCACAACCCAGCCCTTAAATGGCTTTTTTATGTTCCATTTCCTGCAATACATGTTGCTGCCACCAGATGGTAGCAGTGTTTATATAAAGGTTAGTAAATAAGCCCTCAATGGCCTCTCTGGAAAATATTGTTTAGTAAAATGGGAAATAAATGTAACCCATGATCCAGCACTTCTGTTCATAGGGTTAGAGACATGCACATCCAGATACATGCAGAAAAACACCATTAGCAGCATTGTCTGTAATAATCCTAAACTGGAATGATTGAACAATAAAATGGGTACCCATGTCATCAACTATTCATACTATTAATAAATGAAAATGAAATCTACAGCTAGATTCAGTTTCTTTTTTTTTTTTCCTTCTTTATACTGGGGATTGAACCCAGGGTGCTATATCCCCAGCAGTCCCCCCGACTTTTTTTTTTTTTTTTTAAGACAGAGTCCTGCTGAATTGCTTTCTACATTGCTGAGGTGGACCTTGAACTTGTGATCCTCCTGTCTCAGCCTCCCAACTTGCTGAGGTTACAGGCATGCACCGAGTGCAATAATCTTTCCAACATAATGTTAAATAATTGATGCCAGATACATATAAAACTCATGCCCTGATCAGAGAACTGTACCTCTGAGGGAGGGAGAGGATTGGATCAGAAAGGGATGTGCAGAGGCTTGAGGACTCCCCTCATGCTGGCTATGTGGGCACTTGCCTCTTCATTGTTAAACCCTACCTGGATGTGCCAGCACTTTTCTGTACATGTGGATTGCTGATATGACCCTGTGCCAGCCAGGTGCACTAATCACATCACTTAATTCTCTCTGCCCGTTTTACTGGTGAAGAAACTGAAACTTAGAGCTGAGTTGCTTGCTCTGGTCCCCTAGTCCTCCCTAAGTAGCAGTACTGAGGTTCTAATTGGATCTGTCAGACACAAAGCTGTTACTATATTTGGTGACTGACTCCCTGCACCTCCTTGTGCTGATCAGCTGGGCTTCTGGGCTCACACATTGTGCTATTTAAAATAAATCCCCCAGCTATTTACCTGTGTCAAGATTCTGTCCCATCACAGAAAAGAGGTGATATGAGAATCTCTGGTCCATTCCTCTCTCCCCGCTCAGAAGGCTGGCTCCAGGCTGCTTCTACCTGGGCAAGGCCACCTCTGTCATCCCTGTGTGACTTAGAAGACCAATGCCCCTTTCCCTTAGCTCTAGGCCCAAGCAGCACTGTTTGTTTTGTGTTTTATTGATGTATGTAAATCCATAATTCCTTCACATGGTATGCAATTCAAATGGTGTGTAGTGAACAGTATCACTCCTTCAGTAGCCATTTTCTTTCTTTGGTGCTGGGGATAGAACCCAGGGCCTCACATCTGCTAGGCAGGCTTTCTATCCTAGCTGCAGCCCCAGTCCCCTTGTTTGCCTTTTCTAGAGGCAGCCACCGTTATTAGTTGCTTGGATGCTCTCCAGAGATTTTTTTTTTTTTAGGATTTACAAACAAATAGGTAATTTGTATGTGTCGTTTTCATGACACATCTGCACATGAGGAATCTATATTATTCTTTTTTTTCCCCCCAATTTAGCAACATATTTTGACATACCTGTAAAGAACTGCTTTGTTCATTTGTTTGTTTGTTTACTGGTCCTGGGATTGAACTCAGGGGGTACTTCACACATTTTCACCCCTTTTTTATTTTGAGACAAGGTCTCACTTAGTTACCCAGGCTGAACTTGAACTTGTGATACTCCTGCCCCAGCCTCTCAAGTTGCTGGGATTACAGGGGTGAGCCACCATGCCCAGAAGTTTTTCTGTATTGTTTTGTTGAGACAGGGTGTTTTAGTCAGGTTTTTGCTGCTGTGACAAAAAACCCTGACAAGAAGAACAACTTTAGAGGAGGAAAAGTTTATTTGGGACTCACAGTCTGAGAGGCCTCAGTGAATAGACAGCTGGCTCCATTCCTCAGGGCCCAGGATGAGTCGGGGAACAAACCCAGCTCAGGACATTACCAGCAAGCTGAGAGACTACACTTGTCAAATATAAAATACACACCCCAAAGGCATGCCCTCTAATGCCCCACCTCCTCCAGCCATACCCTACCTGCCTTCAGTTACCACTCAGTTAATCCCCATCAAGGGATTCATTCACCAATGAGGTTAAAGCTCTCATCACTCAATCATTTCACTTTGAATGTTGTTATGTGAGCTCACATTTGAGCTTTTGGGGGGCTCCTAATAGACCATAACATAGGGTCTATGTTTTCCAAGCCTTGACTCCTGGGCTCAAGCAATCCTCTTGCCTTAGCCTCTGGAGTAGCTGGAACTATAGGTGCACATGACCCCAACCCCAGTGAAGATTTAGACCTGGCTGCATCAACTCAGTACCCCAGAGTAGGCAGGGCCTTAAGTGTAATAATACCTTGGAACACCTGGAAGAGCTCATTGAGTGGCTAGGTGCCAAGTGCTGACCAAGCCTTCGTCAGCATCTCCTCATTTAATCCCGGGACAACCTTCAGACTCTGCCCTTGTGGACCAGACTGCCCCTCCCAGCACCAACACCCTACTTGCTACGTGACCTGAGGTCAATCTCCTGGCCTCTCCCAGTTTTCTTATCCCAGGCTGCAGTTGAGGTTTCTTTCCTCAGCGGTATCCATGGATACTGATGCCTACAAGGGTCCTGCTTTGTTCTATTTTTCTTCTTCCTGTCTTTGTTCTATTTTTTCCTTGTCTTTTCTGTTTGTCCAAAGCAAGTTCATTAGCCTGTCAGAACTTGTTCTTTTGTTTTGTAGTCATTTCCTAAAATTGCATTGTTCTCAGCCTACAGTGAAGTGTGCAGATATTGGAAGTGCAATTCAGTGCAATGCAGTTCATTAAGTTATGTGCACCTCCATGGAGCAACTCCTAAATTAAGGTGTGGAATGTTGGGGCTGGGGTTGTGGCTCAGTGGTAGAACGCTCACTTAGCACATGTGAGGCACTGGGTTCAATTCTCAGCACCATATAAAAATAAAATAAAGGTATTGTGTCCACCTACGACTAAAAAAAAAAAAAAGATGTGGGGAATGTTTCCTCTACCAGAGGTTCTTGCATGCCCCCTCCCACCTTGACCTAATGACAGCCCTAACCACTATCTCTGTAGATTGCTTTGCCTATTTATTTTTTGTACCAGGGATTGAAACAAGGGGCTCTTTTCCCCTGATCCACATCCCAGGGCTTTTCATGTTTTTATTTTTTTGTTTTGGTACCAGGAATTAACCAGTGGGCCACATACCCAGCCCTTTATTTTTTTCTTTGAGACAGGGTCTCACTAAGTTGCTAAGGTTTACCTTGAAATTGTGGTCCTCCTGCCTCAGCTTCCTGAATTCCTAGAATTATAGGCATGCACCAGCAGTTTTTGAACATCGTGTAAATGGAATCATGCAGGATGTACTCTTTTTTTTTTTTTTTTTTCAGGATGTACTCTTATATCTGGTTTCCTTCATTTGACCTGGTGGTTTTGTTGTTGGTGGTTTTTTTTGGTTTTGTTTTGTTTTGTTTTTGTTTTTGTTTTTAAAGAGAGAGAGAGAGAATTTTTTAATATTTATTTTTTAGTTTTCGGCAGACAACATCTTTGTTGGTATGTGGTGCTGAGGATCAAACCTGGGCCGCACGCATGCCAAGCGAGCGTGCTACCGCTTGAGCCACACCCCCAGCCCCTGTTGTTGTTTTGTGGGTTATTTTGTTGTTTGTTTTTTGGTACCAGGGATTGAGCTCAGAGGTCTTTAGCCACTAGGCCACATCCCCAGCACTTTATGTTTTTATTTTGATACAGGGTCTTACTAAATGCTTAGGGCCTCACTAAATTGCTGAGGCTGGCTTTAAACTTGCAATCCTCCTGGCTTAGCCTCCTGGGCTGCTAGAATTATAGGCCAGCACACCCAGTTCTTGAAAATGTGGTGCTGGGAATTGATCCCAGGCCTCCTGCATGCAAGGTAAGTGCTCTACCACTATGCTGCACTCTCGGCCCTTCTGTGAGGCTCTTGCCCCACAGCCTTCCTTAGTTCTTCAGGGCTGTTACACGTAGGTAGACTGAGGTTGGGAGTTCAAAGTAGCCTTGGCTGTGGCTTCTCCTGGGTCTTCAGGCTCCATCTTCATGCTCAACCCAGGGTGTTTGTGGTTTTTTTTTTTTTCACCCAGGAGCACTTATCCACTGGGCCACAGACCTTATTTTTGGTATAGGGAATTGAACCCAGGGCACTTAAGTACTAAGCCACATTCCCAGCCCTTTTAAAATATTTAATTTAGAGACAAGGTCTTGCTAAATTGCTGAAGTTGGCTTTAAATTTGTGATCCTCCTGGCTCAGCCTCCTAAGACCCTGGAATTACAGGCATACGCCACCATGCTTTGCTGTTTGTGCCACTTCTGAAAGGCTAGGCAATAGCAGGCAGGCCTTCCTGGAATCTTGAGAGAGTGGGCTGGAGCCTGGAATGAGCTTTGCATCCCTTTTTCCCTGGGCCAACTCCTTATTATAGGCCTGAGCCCCTCCTTGGGACTCAGGATGGAGAAGAACTAGGAGAGTGATAGGAGGAAGACTCTGAACCCATCCTTGCTTTTCCCCAGGGGGCCTCTGCAACCTGTGCTCAGACAGGACCAACAAGGACCACATTCTGCAAGCAGGTGGCATCCCACTCATCACCAACTGCCTGTCCAGTCCCAACGAGGAGACAGTGTTGTCCGCAGTTACCACGCTCATGTACCTGAGTTCACCAGGTGCCAGCTCCCACCCCGAGCTGACCTCCACACCTGTGGTCCAGTGCATGCTGCGCTTCTCTCTTTCTGCCAACACAAGGCTCCGGAACCTGGCCCAGATCTTCCTAGAGGACTACTGTTCCCCAAGTCAGGTGGCTGAAGCTCGCAGCTGGCAGGCCCACTCTGCCATGGGTATCCCACTGCCAAGGACTGAGGCCCCGCAGCAACCCTGACCCAGGCAGCTCCCAGTGCCGCAGCACCGTTATTTCTGGGGACCACAGTCCTGGCAGGGAAGTAGGGGACCACAGTCTGTCAAAGTGTTGCCTTTTCTACCATCTTAAAGGTGAAGTTTTTCAGCACAACAAGTGTGTACACTGTGCTGAAAAGGCAGTTGGAGGGACGTGAGACCTGTGGAGGTCAAAGCTGGTGCTGTCTTCATGAGCTGACACTCAGACACCCTGAAAGTGAGGGACCTACCTCCAGTGCCACCACCTCCAGGCTCACTCGTGTCAAAAGCACGGGCCCTAAATCCAGATGTAGCACAAGGGCCTGCTGGGGAGCAGAGCTGGAACTGAGGCTTAGGATTGGTGCCTGGGCCTGAGGCAATGAGGGACTAGCCCTTAACAGAAGTGTCTGGAGTAACTTTGAGGTAGATATGAGAAGCCTCATCATTAAAAGGACCTGGGTGGGGGGCAGCAGGGGTGTAGCTATGGAGGTGTGTGTTTGGCATGCATGAGACCCTGGGTATGACCCCAGCAATAAGAGGAAAAAGAACTTGAGCCTTGGGAAGCTGAGGTGTCACACCTCCCCCTCCAGGGCTGTGGAAGACCACACTTCCCCCTCAAGTCTCCAGGCTGGGCTCTGGCCATGGTGGACACTGACCTTGGAACTATGGCCTGGGATAAAGTATCTCCACAGCCCTTCTAGCTGGTAGGCACTGTATAAGGGTTTCAAGGATGAAACCTTGTGAAGTTAACATGGCCAGCAAGCATTAAGACCAAGGCCCTGAGAGTGATGACACTTCAGAATACAGAATAAAGGCAGGACCCCTTAGAGCGGGATAGGTTCCCCTCACTGCTCCAAGGCTTCCAACTAAAAGCCTGGCCCTCCTCTGCTGTCACAGGAAGCAGCCAGGGAGGTAAGGCTCGCCCTGAGATGTTTCCACAGGCCCATGGATTTCAGGAGCACAAATGAAAGGGTGATGCTCAAGGCAGAGAAGAGGAGGTATGTGTGCACCTCCTGATGCTGGTCAACAGAGAAAGGAATGTGGTCCCAGTGGAAAGTTGTGGTTTGGGAAAATGGAGGGCCTTGGCCTCTCAGGTGCACCCCTTAGACGGCCACACAAAGGTCATTCTAGAGGAATGCTATTCAAGTGGGTGTGGAAGCAGGGGCAGGAGCCACAAGATGGAGAAGGGAGGAAGCGTCCGTTCTCCTAAGCCCTTGTTCCAGCTGCACCCACCCGGCGCTCTTATCCCTCTCCTTTCTCAAATAAAGGGTTTTAAGAGACCAGACAGCCCAAGTTTTTTTTTTATTAAAAGGGTCCTGACTAGCTGATATTCCATTGTATTTCTATGCCAGTCGTGCTCAGGGACAGCCGTCTCTGGAGGTGCCAGGTGGCTGGGCCTGTGCAAGCAGAGGTTACTGGTCTCCATTCTGCATGGCAGGAGTCCCTGGCTCTTCAGGGATTCCCTGCCAGCCTGCCTGCCTTCACTTCAGCACTGTCGCCTGCAGGTCCAGCTCATTCCCACTACACAGCTGCCCGCTTGCTCTCTATAATTTCCCTCCAATTGTCACTCCAGGAGAGCAGACGTCTCCTTGAAGGGGGCAGGGCCAGGTGCTGATTGTGGCAGCAGGTGAACAAGATGTGCTCCCAGCTGGGGGTTTCCTCTAGGCCTAGGAAGGAAAGACATGGAACATGTAATCTGGTTATTTTTACCCTCTACCTAATCCAGGCAGGCCAGATGCCTGGAGGTGCCAAGGATAACAGGCCCAACCTTGAATGGTGTCCTTATCATCAATGAGCAGATCTCCCAAGACTACAGTCTTGTCTCTTGTCAGGATAATGCGCTCCACAAACTGGGGTCCCAGGTGTCGCTCTACCCAGCGGTACTGTATGGGAGACAGGTCAGTCAGCGGGGCCTGAGGAACCCTGCATCCAGAGACAGCGCAGACTGAGTGGGAGTCCTTGAAATGTTCTCCTTCCCCCAGCGCCCCCCCCCCAGGAGGCCAAAGCTGGTGCTGTCTTCATGGGCTGACTTGATTTTCAAAATCATGATCTGGTAAGCTAAGTTAGCTCAGGCAGCCGCACCTTCTCACCCACACAGTGGTCAAACTTCAGCAGAGGGCTGGAGCAGATGAAGACCTCGGTGCTGCAGAGAAGGGGGCCCAGTTAGTTGGTTTTTGGTTGTTTTTTTTTTTTTTTTTTTTTTGTGTGTGTGTGTGTGTGTGTGTGGTGCTGGGGATTGAAACCAGGGCCTTGTGCATGCAAGGCAAGCACTCTACCAACTGAGCTACATTCCCAGCCCAAGAAGGGGGCCCAGTTAGATCCGCAGAAGCCACCGCTGTCCCGCGGGCGTCACCACCCCTCCCTCCTTACTCTGGCATGGCGTTCATCTCCCGCAAGGCTTCCAAAGCCCCCGGGATGGGCTCCAAGTCTAAGAAAAAGCCTGGGGCTTCATACACGCTGGCCACTTTATCCTGCAAGAGAAGAATTCTCGGTCCTGGCCTCGCCTCCAGCAGATGGAGCCCCGGAGACGTCTCCATTAAGCTCCCCAGGCCGGGGCTTCGGAGACAGGAGGGTCGGGAGGTGGTGGTCGCGGAGGGTGGGCGGGCACTCTCCCGACCTTTCCTCTCCCGGGGTGAACTATGGATGCAAAAGTGGGAGTTTTGTTCATTTCAAACAAAAGGGGTGTCCCCGGAACGAAGCCCAGGAGCTCCTGTCCAAGCGGCGAGGCTCCGGCTCCGCGTCTTACCGCCAGGTCGGGCCGCAGGGCTCGGTACTGCTCGCTGGCCAGGAAGCCGCGGCGCTGCTCGAGCGGCACGTGCGGCTCCCCGGGGAAGCGACGGTGGAAGCCCCGCAGGAGGCCGGCCTCGAAGTCGGCCAGCACGCCGTCCATGTCCACCAGCACACGCACGGGCCGCGCGCGCTGCGCCGCCATCGCCTCCAGGCTGCGGGGGTCTCGGGGTCGCGAGGGTCTCGGACCCCAGGGGCTGAGCCGGCCGGAAGCGCGGAGCGCTGGGCGCCGAGTGCCGCCGCTTCCGGGCCGCGAGCCGTGGGCGGAGCCCAGTCACACTGCCCCGGCTAATTTGCATAGGCCGCAGGTGGGGACGCAGGGCGACACCGGCACCGGTCTTCAAACCTGCCTTCCTGCCCACCTGCGGTGGCAGGAACCCCTTCTGGAATACCAGGGCAGGACGGCTGAAGGCGATCTCTTTTATGATCTTCAGCTTTTTCGTGACTCACCCTTCGTCCTCCCAAACAAGGCACGATCTAAAATACTGAAAGTTATCTTCTTTTTTTCTCCCCCGTCCTTTTTTCTCTGTACTGGAGGTTGAACCTGTGTCGCTTTACCACTGAGCTACATCCCCAAGCCCTTTTCATTTCTTGAGACACAGCCTGGCTAAATTGCCCAGGCTGGCCTCAGATTTGTAATCCTCCTGCCTCAGCCTCCCGAGTCGCTGGGTTTACAAGAGTGCACCACGGTGCCCAGCCTGTGAAGCACCTTCTAACAAGGAAGCAACGCGTTTTAAATCTGTGGGCCTGGCTGCACATATTAAATTCAAAGTCTCAAATTCTGAGGCCACCGACAGTTCTGCCCTAACTGCTTGACGAGGCTGGATGCAGAGACCCCAGACCAGAGCCCCTGATGCTTGAAGGCCTGAATCATGGGGGTTGCGCGTTAATGTGAAGTGAATGAAACTGTTGAAGGTAATGGGGTCTGTGAGTCGATTATTTTTGTAGCACTGGGCACTCATCCGGGGCTAGGCAAGCATCCTACCACTGATCTACAGGCCCAGCCTTACCAGAATAGGTCTGAAACATAGAATATAGTTCAAACCTCCTGTTCACTTGGGGAGGCGATTTCCTTCAAGCACTGCTATCAGGGCTGTTCTTTCTCTGGAAATGGCACAGTATAGCAGAAGCCTCTATCATCCTTCCATCTCCATGTTCTCCATCTGAGGACCCTGCCACTCCCACACCAATGGGTCAAAAGCATCACATAGGGGGAACCTGATCTAAGGTGAGTCAGTTTCAAACTGTGCAAGAGGTAGGACGCATTAAGCCAGATGTACTCAGTGCCCAACTGCGTCTTTGGCCTCCTTCACCAAGATACTTTAGTCACACAAACAGGCCAAGAGGTCTGCCAATGAAGTTGCTCCTTGGGTAACTTTGTAGTCATCTTGTCACGGTTTGAAGATCAAAAAACTTCACTTTCCAGACTAGCAATTGAACACCCAAAACACGTTCCAGTGCTAAATCTGCTCTAACAGTACCAAAGTGACTGGCTCAACTGTTCCCCACACCAGAACAGCTTTCATTTTAAGTGTTTGCTTATCTTCATAGAACAAAAAATTAAAAACAACTATCTAGTGGTGACAAAACCAAAGACCTCTCTTTTCCAGTCTTTTCCAGGAGCCCCACCCTTACTAGTAGGAAGAAGGGTGCAGTTTCCCTCCTTTTCAGGTCGATGGTATAAGCCTATACTGGTATAGGCCAGTATTTATAGGGCAGGCCGGTTTCAATATACTGATGATTGATTTATCTGGTATTCCCTTATTCTTCTAAAAGATGTGCCTAGTACTTCCAAAGTCTCATTTTGCCAATGGGGAAACCGAGGCCCAGAGGAGCAAGGCAGTTTAGTAGCATGGGTGACGCAAAAACAGGCCTTACTGCCGGATTTGGACATTTGACATGTTGACCTGGAACCTTCTGCCTAGAACCCAAAGAGCACTTGTGGGGCCTTGGCCACCACCACTTTCTGATTATGTGGACACTTTCTTTGTTGTCCTCTTCTGCTTAACCACCACGCCCTCTTGATAAGGACCTCATAAAATGGAAACAAACTTTTTAATCTTGTTGCTGGGGATTGCACCACGTGGTGGCTCCACCCGAGCCACACCCCAGGCCTTGTTTTAATTTTGATATAAGGTCTGGCTAAGTTGCCCAAGCTGGCCTTGAACCTTTAAACAGATTCAATTAATCCAATCATTGGACAGGATTATAGTGGCAAAGAAAAAAGTAAAAGGAAGGACACTGAAACAATATGAAAGAGACACAGGACACAATGTTTCAAAATGTGGGCATTGTTTACTGTAAGCAACAGTCCAGGATCGGGAGGTACAACACACATTTTAAAGATGAGACTTTCATTTCATGGTCAAGCACCAGCATCATGCACACAGCGTCAAGTTACTTAGTAAGAACAGTGCCCCTGTGGGACCCGCTCCTGCATGGGGCCACCTGTGTGCTCGCCTCCCTGGCTTGCGTCACCACTTCATCCCGGTGGCTTGACTGTGCGTCTGAAGCCGTCCTCTTGCTCATCGGCCAGCCAGCCATGTTAGTACCTGGCTCACTTCTGAAGGTTAAAAAAAGGCAGCTTCTTTGCTTTCAGGCAGCGGGTTCTGAGGCTCAGGCCTCTTCCATATGGCACAGGAAGATGCTTTAGCTAAGGGCACTGAGAGAGTAGGGCAGCGCCACAGAGAAGCTCTGCATACAGACCACGTGTGTGGTGGGGCTGCCGGGGTGGTGCCTGTGGACTGCAGAAGGTCTGTCCAACCATGGTAAACCCAAGAACAGTGCATCAAAAACCTCATACAAAAGAGCCTCTACCACATCAGGAACCAAATGATTTGTTCTTAAAAACACGGTACTAAGTGTCACAAAGCTTTCCCTTCAATCTACTACTAGAAAACACTCATGCCATGGCCCACAGACCCAGGAGTCAGACAAAGAAAGAGAATCCTGTTCTTCAAAAAGAAAAAGGAGGAAGAAAACGAACAAACAAAAAAAGACAGCAGTACATAAAGTGCTTCTTTTTAATGAAACAAATTCAAAAGATATAGAGTCAGGCTCAAGTTGTGCAGTTCACAAGCATGAAGAAAACAAACAAACAAAATGACAGAGTTCAGGACAGTCAGTTAACCCAAGACCAGGCTGGACTTGCCACCAGGAGGGTTTCTTCTGGACGGTGCAGGGGCCGCGGCCACGGGGCTGGGCACAGGCGCCGCGGGCACGGGCTTCTCTTCACTCTGCCCCAGGCTGCCTTGCAGGTCTGTGTCCATGTTTTCTGGGAAAACGGAACAGAGATGAACCTAATAGTTATTTCTGGATAAGACAAAGAGTCTCAAATTTATTGCTTTCGTGGTTTAAAACATACTGAAGGCGCTGGGGATGTGGCTCAAGCGGTAGCGCGCTCGCCTGGCATGCGTGCGGCCCGGGTTCGATCCTCAGCACCACATACCAACAAAGATGTTGTGTCCGCCAAGAACTAAAAAATAAATATTAAAACTTCTCTCTCTCTCTCCTCTCTCACTCTCTCTTAAAAAAAAAAAAAAAAAGAAATGCTTTAAAAAAAATAAATAAATAAAAAATAAAAAAAAAACATACTGAAAAGTAGTAAAAAAAACCTCAGCCAGACATGGTGACACGTCTGTAATCCAAGCAACTGAGACAGGAGAATTGCAAGTTCAAAGCCAACCTCAGCAACTTAGTGAGATCCTGCTCAAAATAGAAAGTAAAAGGGCTGGGATGTGGCTCAGTGGTATAGCACCCTGGGTAAATCCTTAGTGCCACCAAAAAAAAAAAAAAAAAAAAACCAAACAAACCACCCCATCAACCATAATCCTACTGTCCAGAATTGATCACTGTCCTATGTTTTGTCACACCAGTTCAGTGTTTTGCTTAGGTACTCCAGACTGAACCCAAACCCCACCCCTTTTTACTTTTTGAGACAGCAAGATTTGCCCAGGCTGGCCTTGAACTTGAGATCCTCCTGCTTCAGACTTCCAAGTCACTGAGATTACAAGCACGCACCACTGTGTCCAGTTGGTGATTCCTATTCAAATGAACTGAGCACTTCCTACTTTCAACACCGTAAGCATGAGTAGTAATATCCACTACAGCACATATTGCTCAAGTCACTGACTGATTTGTGGATTCCCAACAAGTAGATTTTTTTTTGTGTGGTTCTACAGATTTAACCCAGGAGTGCTCTACCACTGAGCCACATACCCAGTCCTTTTATTTTTTATTTTGAGACAGAGCCTCTCTAAGTTGTTGAGGCTGGCTTCAAATATGTCATCCTCCTACTCTGGCCTCTCTAGACACGGAGATTATAAGTGTGCTCCATTGAACCCAGCTAACAAGTATATATTCTCAATTGTCTTATTAGCAAATAGATTGCAAACACAGAAAATTAACTTCTTCAAATGAATTCAAGAGTGACTGCAAAAACAAAAAACAATCACAATTTTAAAAATCCCTTATTAATAAATAAGTAAACTTAATGTTTACTAAAAGTATTAACGTTTTTAAATTTATTTTTTTAGTTGTAATTGGACACAATACTTTTATTTTATTTATCTATTTTTATGTGGTGCAGAGGCTTGAACCCAGGGCTTCCCACTCAGTAGTAGGCGAGTGCTGTACCGCTGAGCCACAACCCCAACCCATACTAAGAATATTAATATTTTAAAGCATATTAAACATTAAATTTTGAGTGGCAGGCTTATTTCAGTATTAAATCATCAAACCAAAATTAGTTGCATCTTCTACAACCATAGATAATTGTACACATTCCACAGAAGTCCTTTTTCAATAATTTGCCAAAAAGACCAAACAATAAAAAAAAAAAAAAGATTGCTGTGTTATTATGACCAAGGCATTAGGAAGGTCCTTCTTCAGCAGTACGTGGAACTACAGCAAAGTGTCGTCCTCCCTTTTCTGCCTGGCAAGTGGACCAGTGTCTTCTTATGTTGCAATTATAATGAAATTCAAAGTGAGTGCGTCTGCTCCACAGAACTCCTGCACCCTGGGCATGTTCAGTGTCTGTGCTGTCCACTGCAGCCACACATGGCTCCACTCAATCCACAGGGTCAGGAGTTTTAATTTGTCCGAGTCAAAGTTTAAATATACACAGCCATGTGTAGGTCGTAGTAACAGAACAAGCAGCACAGTGTTAGCAGAATACACAGGGCTGGGTGTAACCCTAGCACCTCGGAGGCTCAGGCAGGAAGATCGCAAGATCAGAGACACCCTTAGTAACTTAGCCTTAGCAACTTGTCAAGACCCTATGTCAGAAAGCCGGATGCAGTGGCTTACGCCTATAATCCCAGCAGCTCAGAGACTAAGGCAGAAGGATTGTGAGTTCAAAGACACCCTCAGCATTGATGAAGTGCTAAACAACTCGGTGAGACCCTGTCCCCAAATAAAATACAAAACAGGGTTGGGGATGTGGCTCAAGTGGGTCAGTGCCCCTGAGTTCAATCCACAGTACAAAAAAAAAAAAGACCCCATGTCAAAAATAAACCATAAAAAGACTGGGGGTGCCAGGCACAGTGGCTCATGTCTGTAATCCCAACAGTTTAGGAGGCTGAGCAGGAAGATTGTGAGTTCAAAGCCAGCCTCAACAATGGTGAGGTTCTAAGCAAATCAGTGAGACCCTGTCTCTAAATAAAATACAAAATACAGCTGGGGATGTGACTCAGTGGGTCAGTGCCCCTGAGTTCAATCCTCGGCACACCCCCCCCAAAAAAAATAGATTTTTAAATGGACTGGGGGCTCAGTGGTAAAGTGTCTTCAGGTTAAATCCCTCTAAGAAAAAGAAAAATTAAAAACAGCAACAACAAGAGAATACAGACCATTAATTCAGCCTGAAACACTAACACAATGTTTCAATTAAAGTTTTTTCATTTCCGCTAGGAGGCCTTGGCCTCATTCTACATATACAAGACCTAACTGAACCCTCCATTGTCTGACTGGATCAAGGAGTCAATGAATATTCTGAAGGACAAAAAAACCCCACAGCTCTCCCACTGGAGTTAATTTTCATAAAAGGCTCATCCCAGGAATCTCCTAATTGTCTTACATCATTAAAGGAAGTGTTTTACTTTTCACATGGATAATAACATGCTAAAAATGAAAAGGAAAATAGAAGCAGACCAAAGAAAGCAGCCCAGGTCTTAAGGGCAGGGCTTGTTTGTCAGGTTAGAAACACTGTGGCCAGAAGAGGGCAGCTTGTTTGCTACCAGTCTGTAATGAGATAAATAGTTACTGCGACTAAACACTTAGAAACTTTTATAGCAATCTGACAGGTACTGCCTGTCCCTATTGAGTCTAATAATTATGATGTCAAAGGCTCTAAAGGAAATACTTCTCCAATTTTATACATTTTAGTACTAATTGATGGATTGTGGTACTAGGGATCAAACCCCAGAGCCTCACTCATCAAAATATATTTTATGAGCTCCTAACTTGTCTTTGTTTGGCACATTGATAATGTAACAGCACCGCACACTGACACACGCCTGTAATCCCACCTATTCAAGAGGCTGAAACAAGAAGATTATAAACTAGGCCAGGGGCTGGGGTTGTGGCTCAGTAGTAGAGCACTTGCCTAGCATGTGTGAGGTACTGGGTTCAATTCCCAGCACTGCATATAAAATAAAATAAAGGTCCATCAACAACTAAAAAATAAAAATAAAAATGGTAGAGTGCTTGCCTCACATGTACAAGGCCCTTGGTTCAATCCCCAGCACACCCCCCAAAATAAAAAATAAAA